ACGACAAACAAATGGTTCCCATCGAGTACGATGGATACGAGGGGTGCTAATACCTTCCATTCTCATAACCGGCTTCCGAACCCATTTATGGTAGCGAGACCATCTTATCCGTTCTTTTCTTAAGGTTTTCTCGATATTTTCCTTTCCCCTCATGGGATAGATAATGTTCGGTGGCGACTCTTCTGTCCTTTTCCTTTTCGCCTTCCCCGTCGTTGCGCGCATTTTTCGAGTAGCGACACATTGTATACATTGTTACAAACACATTACAAAATCAAATTGTATTATTTCCCCTTGCTGTTCAGGATTGTTAAAAGCAAGTGTGTGCATTGAAGAGGACTGTTCTTTCTGCACTTAGTGTTTTAGATCTTAAAGGTATTTAAGAGCCTTTGATCTACCTATAGGTTAGAAAGAATTGTACACTAATCCTAACTATAGTGAAATCTCTTTCGTGTTAAAAGGGGACTGGAGTACCTTCGGAGTGTGAAGGGAACCAGGATATTTCTTGGTGTTCATTACTTTATGAACTTTACCGCTTTGATACCATCATCATATCTCAAGAAAGTAATAAATCAGTCTCTAAAAATCCGAAAATTTCAAAGAACCTAATTCACCCCCCCCCTCTTTTAGGTGCAACTCAGACTTTCACAATCTAGGAACAAGCAAGAAAGAAACGGTCAAACAAGACTCCGACCATTTAGGAATGAACTCGAATGGGGGATTTATCTTATCCAAGCATGGAAAAGATAACTGAAGCAACCATCATCCACGAGGGTCAAACTCTATGGGGAATTTAGAAAGGATGGACATTTTATGCTTAAGGTTGATGACTCTACTTAGAGAGAAAAGATAAACCCAGTTACTTGGTGGTAAACACAACCAAAGTAAACGACAAAAGACAACAAGGTAGCAAACATGCTCATGTGCTAATATATGTCTGTATAAATGAAATTATGTCATGCTTATGCTGATGCTGACAAAACAGACAATGAGAAGTAAATTGGAGATGAAATAAACATCTCGACGAGGATTCTCGACCAACCTCTAAAAGAAGGATACATCTATCAAGATATGGATAGAAAGCCATAGGAAGAACCATAGTCCTACTTCAAGGTTTAAACTTTTCTGGGGAAAAAAGAGCATTCCACTCGGGATATAACATCATGACTTCACCTGAGGGATTGCCATCACGAGTCTGATTTCCTTATCAAAGAAGAAGATGTCCACTAGAAAGAGTCACCCTTGATTTAAGACTTCATAGGGGATAAAATAAATGTTGACTTCATCGGGGAAGTATGAAGTCAAGGCAGCTTATTGGGGAAAATAGAGGAACTTCAGTGGAGAACAAGGATAACTCCAAATGGGGGGGGGGGGGGGGTGAATCCTCAATATCAACAATATGTATCACCATGGTGAACACTAGGAAGATTCTTTAATGTCTTGAAAATCACTTACGATTACAAGATATGTCCAAGAGTTTGTCAGTTTATGCTTCAATGGGAATTTTTGCTGGAACTGGTCTAAAAGTGCTTCTGCAACATTAAAACTTACCAGGGAACAATGATTTCCTTCATATCTTTCCACATGTCAAAGCAATTTTATATTCTTTCCGTTGTGTTTTCAAAAAAATGGTTTTAAATTTGAAAACTTTTCACTTTCAAAATTATTATTAACAAATGACATTTTTGCATAGCAAGGAAAAAGCAGAGAAAGTGTAAAATGGCACAAATTGAAAAGCAAAAGTTTGACTTTATTCAAGAATGGTAGCTTGCTAATGGCAAAGCTCCATGGAGTATTATAATTGAAATTGACAATAGGGAAAGGTTACATTGAACCCAAAACACCTACTAACCCTAATAAGTAAGACTAACCAAAATCTTGCTTTTGACGAGAACGAATGGATTGGACTTTTGCTTTGATCTTCTGCAATGATGAACGTCATTTGATGCAATGAAATGCCTTTTGTCCCTAACTTTTGTCTGGATCGCCCTTTCGGGTTTTCAATCTATCGGGACGCTCATTTTTTCCTAAACTTCCCTTTCGAGTTTTCCTAAACTTCCTGAACGAGTTTTGAATGACTATAAATGAGTTAGGTTTAGGGTACAACTTAATAAACGAGTGATATTATAGTAAAATATGGTTATGTATCCCCTCGATTATTAAAGTAATTGAATGAATAGATCATTTGATTTACAAATAAAAAATAAAGAAAAAGAAATGCACCACTTTTAAAAAAATAAAAACATAAATTACACTTGTTGGGAATCAAAGCATGTCCTAAATTTATTTTCACCTTGGTTATATTCACCAACCGAGGGAATATATGGTATTTTTTATATAAAAATAAATAAAACAGACGCGTCCTAGAATTATACCTCAGTTTTTTGTTAGGTGAGGTGAAAGCTTTGTCATAAAATATATTATTTGTAGAGAGTTCATAAGGGTCTAATCCTAGGCCCTCACTCCCATACTCATCTTATCGGCTCGACAAAGAACCATATTAAAGTATCCCAAAACACACACACACACACTCTAAATTCATCTCTACATATATCTTGACATCAAAGGATGATATCAAACTAATATCATATAAAGACTAGTGAACTATCTGAAGAGGGAAATCACTCTACTGGGCCATCTGAAAGGAAAGGAAAAAACTCCTAAAGAGTATCACCAATTTGATAAATCAGAAGTCACCTACTTAGTTACCCGAGAACCAGAGGAGATAAAATAAGCGAAGATCCACCGAACTGGACTGAACCACTAGTCGTAGAAACGGAAAAAAAAACCATATGCATTCCCTTAAAAATCTAAAGAGTTAAGCAAACGACTCCCAGAAGAAGAATTCAAACCACCTAATATGTCATAAGAACACAGTCTAAACTAGAACCAGTTTGAATCCTGAGCAAACCATATCGATGAAGTGGACCATCTAAATCGGACCTCACCAAAACAACATTCAGATCTTTTCTCCTTAGCACATAAAAATCTTGGGCTTAGATATTCCACTAAATCACCAACACGAACTAAAGAGGATTGACCACATATCTCATCCTTACTATCCCATACACATGTGTCCACACAGAAATAAGAGGCATGAAAAAATTAAGGCCCTAATTGCATAGAGAAAAAGAATGGACCCTAAAGATATCATGCCAAAAGAGATTTGGACTTGGATCCTCTCCTTTATTTTTCTCTTCTCCCCTCTCCTAATTCTCTATCTCTCTCTTAATCTCACTCTAACTCATCATAAAAAAACAAAAATATAATCATGAGAAAAAATAAGATTAAAGAGAGGGGGTGAGAGAAAAATGTAAAAGATGATCCAAAATGAAGAGCTATAGAAAGAACTTCTACAGATTTTTTCTTTTTTCTAAGACACAACACGTGTCATATCCTTAAATGGTGCATACTTTTCACTTTCTATATTGGTACAACCACCAGCTTTCTTAGAAAAAAGGTCAAACTTATTTAACACTCCAAACCTCCTAAGACCACATGTGAGACAACTAAAAACCCTGATTCTAAAAAGATCCCACCCTCTTCTTCTCTTACAACATATCCATCTTCATTACTTACCACTTTTATGTCTAGGCCACCTACAAAGCAGTCCAACGAGACAGAAGAGCAAGCTGAAGAATTAAGTGGAACCTGCTCTACCATATCCAATGCAACCTAAACTAAACTAAAACCTAAGCTAAAATGCACATTATTGTGTAGAATGCTTGAAGACTGTCTAATGAGATGAACCAGAATGATATAAGGAGAGAATGCTTAAAGACTGTCTAATGAGATACCAACCTATTGTTCCAAACGAAACTTACATGATTGGAAATTATTGAAGAAGAATGCATGAAATATGAAGAAAGAAACCAAAAATAGAGAGATGTTAGAGCTTCTATCTCTACTTTCCTAATACCAACCTCCATGAATATAAATATAAATTTGTTCTTGAACTTAAAAGCTAGATTAGTGTTCAGCTAATGGCTCTCAACTGTGACTTCTCTCTCGATTCAAATATCATGCTGAAAAAGGAATTTTGTTAATCAAATATTAGTTTCTAAACTCCTCCAGAATAGAGTTAAGTACAAAATTTTAATTTATCGTGAGCTACTAAATTGATAAATGTATAAATAAATGAAAAATGAAAAGATAAATGGATAAATTAAAAAATGGTTTAATAAATTTTTAGTCTTCTAAAATAACTTAACTTTTGTTTTTAGAACATGAAAATATTTCATTTAAATATTAGTCCTTCCAATTAATTTCTTTTGACAAAGAAAATGATGTGGCATACACATGTTAGATTTTATGTGATTCAACGCACACATGACATTATCAATGTGTGATGCTTAGATGGCATGCCATTTTTTAACTTTGACTATTTTATATTATCAATATTAGTTAAATATATAGAGTTAGTAAATTAATAGCTAAAGGTGACACATAAAATGAAAAAGATGAAGACCATAATTTAAATGGAGAAATTGTCACTAATGTGTCACTACTTTTGCCTCTAAATATGTCCCTAATTCAATTTTGATTTATGTTTAATTTTTATTCATCGTAGATTTAACTGCACCACTTAACTCAAAGAACTTATATCAAAACTAGTTTTGGAATCGAAAGTGTTGACCGTTTATGCTCTAGGAAAGTTGAGTCAAATTGTCTCCATTTGTTCTTAAATAAAATACCAATTTGCATTGAAATATATTAAGATTGAAAAGTAGTAATTAGATATGTATTGAATGCTTTTTTAAAGATATAGATGGGATGTTGGTACATTTTAGTATATCTCACGTGTTTTTTTATAGAGAGACTCTCATTTCTCTCTAAAAAAAGTATTGTGTCCATCTATTTCTTATCTTTTTTTTTTTGGGTGAGAAATGGTTTTCCCGCCCTTTGGCTTCACCCTCCTTCAAATTGAAGGTTTCTTTTCATAACTTCATCGATTTCACTTTTAAATCTTTCATTTCTGTTTTGGTACTTTTTGGATGTAGAGTATGGATAAGTGGAAAAGCTTTCAACTTTCTAAGGAAGAAGAGGAAGACATTACGATAGAGGCGGAGGAAATCTGTGAAGGAGACATTTTTCAACGTACCCTAGTCGGTAAACTATGGACAGACAACAACTTCAATTCAAGAGCTTTCACCAACACAATAATAGGAGCGTGGAAACTCATAAACCCAATAGAGGTACAAAACCTAAACAAAAATCTCTTTCTTTTTTGTTTTGATACGATAAGGGATTTGGAAGGTGTCCTTAAGAACAGGCCAAGGAGTTTCGACAGAAATATCCTGATTCTGAGTCAGATTTCAGGAGAGGAACAACCCTCGGATTTGAATATGCACTATGGTTCATTATGGGTTCGCGTGTACAAACTTCCCATAATGTTATGTTCAAAAGCTATGACAAAGAAGCTTGGAGGTATATTAGGTGAATTTGAGGAAATGGATCTAAAGGAAGCCCATATAAATGGGAGATTCCTACGAATCAAAGCAAAAATTAACCTAAATAAGTCGTTGAAAAGAGGAACAGTAGTACGCTTTAAAGAGAAAAACCTCATAGTCTATTTCAAGTATGAGCGTCTTCCTACATTTTGCTTTGTTTGTGGAAGAGTGGGTCACCAGCTTAAGGATTGCGAGCCAGTTGGGGATTTCAGCGAAGAAGGATTTAAAGATTTGGATGAACAAGACTTATCTTTTGAATGTGGTTGCGAGCTTCCCCTCTCCTAAGGACTCATGAGGAGCAAAAGATGAAGGACTCAACCTCAAGCTCATGCAGTAAAGGCTTGTTTAACACTTATTCGAGACAAAGTAGATGTGAAGCCAGGGTTAAAGGCAAAGAAGGAGAGGATGGAGAAGTAGAGCAAAGAGGGGGTCGTTTTTAAGGAGTCAAGAGTCTAGAAGCTCCACCGTTAGAAAATCAGCAGGCAGAAGTTCAAATAAACAAAGGGAAAGTCGGTTTGAAGATAGAAGCTATGGAGGAGTTCTTAGGAGCAGTAGATATCTCAAATACTGGAATTAAACAAAAGAAGAGTTCAGAAGCTGGAACTAGAAAGAGAAGAAAATGGACAAGAAGGTAGAACACAAGGAAGACGAAACCAGGTATTGCTAAACAAATTGAGATTGAATGTGGAAAATTAAATTTGGTAGAGGTAACGATAATGAATTGAACTGTGGAATCCTTGGGTATGGGAGAGCAAAAGCTAAAGAAACAAAAGGTATTTTTTGAAGGAAAGCTCAAAAGAACTAGAGGTGGTGTTAGAAGACCAACACCTCCTAGATCAATGAAGCTTTTAAGTTGGAGTTGCATGGGATTGGGGAGTCCCCGTGCAGTTCGAGCCTTGACTAGGCTCATCCACTTAGAAAACCCCTCAAATGATGTTTATAATGGAATATATGCTAAAGAAGGATGAAGTTCAAAGGATAAAGCATAAAACTGGCATTGAGTGTTGTTTGAGTGTGGATTGTAAAGGCCAGGGTCGAGAAATTGTAGGAGGGATTTTTCTCTTATGGTAAGATAGTATGCAGGTGGAAATCAACTCATATTCTACCAATCACATTAGTGGTCTTGTGAAGGATTTCAAGGATACAGAGCCATGGCACTTTATTGGTATATATGGATATTCTGAGGAGTGTAACAAGAAGCATACTTGGAGTTTATTACAAGATTTGGTTAGGAAATATGGAGATAGAGTCATTTTTTTGGGGACTTGAATGATGTGGTTTCATCTGATGAAAAGAAGGGAGGAATTGCTAGATCCACAAGTCAACTTTCTTGTGAAAGGATCTCTTTGGAAGAAAGTGGCCTTTTGGATTTGGGCTTTGAGGAACATTATTATACTTGGTCTAATGGTAGAGCAGGTGCAGATAATATTCAGTGTCTCCTTGATAGATCCTTGGCAAACAATAATTTTATAAACATATTTTCACCAATCAAGGTATGACATCTTCCAAGGTTTGGCTCTAACCATGTTTCTCTTATAGTAAATCTCAAAGCTGATCCTGGGGATTTCAGAAAGAAGAGAGAATACCTCTTTAGATTTTAAGAGATTTATAGAAATGGATCAAGTCAAACAGTCAACAAGATCCACGAGTTGCCGGGTCTCAGTGACCTATTCAAGGAATATAAGATGAGCTCAATTAATCAAGAGTTAAAAATAATGGAAAGATTACTGAAGGATGAAGCCATGTAGGACTCTGATGAGCATTATATTAGAACCTATAAATCTTTAGAATCTCAGAGGAATAGATTTCTTTAACTTGAAGAAGTTGTGTGGCGGAAAAAAAAGTAGAGCAATTTAGCTTCATTATGGGGATAAGAACAACAAATTCTTCCATAAGAAAGCTAAGCAAAGAAGACTCAGCAATTCAATAACCAGACTAAAAGAGATGAATGATGTCTGGAGAAAGGGAGAAGCTAACTGTGAGAGGATCTTAACAAATTATTTCAGGGAGCTCTTTACTTCTTCTAATTCTACAAATATTGAGGAAGTTATCAGGGTTGTGCAAGGAAAGCTGGAGGCTACTCATGTTAGCAGATGTTTAGAGCCTTTCACCACCCAACAGATAAAGGAAGCTTTGTATCAAATGCATCCACTAAAAGACCCTGGCCCAAATGGCCTCCCAACCTTATTTTTCCAGAAGTTTTAGCACATTGTAGGGGATATTTTGATCAATGGCAAAGATCCTAGTGGAATTAAATCCACCCATATAGCCCTCATTCTAAAACGCAAGCATCATAGTACTCCTAAGGATTTTACGCCAATTAGCTTGTGCAATATGGTCATGAAGTTGGTCACCAAGACAATTGCCAATCATATGAAAGTCTTTTTACCTGAGATTAGAGATGAGGAACAAAGTGGCTTTGTGTAAGGGAGACTAATTATGGATAATGCTTTAGTGGCTCTAGAATGTTTTCACTGCTTAAGAAGAAGAAAACTGGAAAACGTGGTCACATGGACCTAAAGCTAGATATGTCAAAGGCATACGACAGTTTAGAATGGAGTTTCATTACTAAAGTCTTGTTTGTGATGGGATTCCCTAGCCATTGGGTGAATTTGATTGAGAGATGTATTTCAACAGTATCCTACAGAATTCTTCTAAATGGCCAACCATGTAGAATTTTTCACCCTGGTAGGGGACTTCGTCAAGAAGATCCCCTTTCGCCTTATCTTTTCATTATTTATGCTGACATTTTTTCAGGTCTCATCAAAAGAGAGGTGCAAGATAGGAAGATTCATGGCATGAGGATTGCAAGAAAGTATCCTTTGATCTCTCACTTATTCTTTGCTTATGACAGTTTACTTTTCGTTCGTGCAAATGATGCAGAAGCTTCTAAAGTTTTGGAGATCCTTCAAAGATACCAGCAGGCATCAGGACAGGTTGTTAATCTGGACAAATAGAGGCTTCATTTAGTCAAAATGTTAATGAGGATGAAAAATAAATGATCCGATTAAGGATGGGAGTTAAGACAGTTCAAAGCCAGGCCATATACCTAGGATTTCCAGTTGTCTTTGGAAGATCTAAGAAGGAAATATTTTCTCTAGTGGTGGATTGTGTCTGGGAGAAGATCAAGGGTTGGAAGGAAAAGTTTCTTTCAAGGGCAGCAAAAGAAGTCCTCATAAAAGCAGTAGCTCAAGCAATCCATAGCTACATAATGAGTTATTATAAAATTCTTGAAGGGATATGCAATGAAATTGAGAATATGTTAGCAAAGTTTTGGTGGAGCAAAGAATGGAGATAAGAAGATTCATTGGCTTAGATGGGAAAGAATGGCCAAGGCTAAGAAATATGGAGGAATGGGCTTCAAAGGAATAAGTGAATTTAACACAAGTTTATTGGGAAAGCAGTATTAGAGGCTCTTGAAAAATAAGGATTCCCTTGTTGGTAGAGTTTTGAAGGGGAGATATTTCCTAAATTGTCATATTGATGAGTGTTTTGCAGGCTTCAACCCTACCTATTCTTGGAGGGGTATTCTGAATGCTAGATCAGTTTTACACATGGGTGCTCGATGGAGGATAGGAAATGGAACAAAAGTCTCAATTCTTAATGATAGAAGGATCCCTGGTGTCATACCCTAATTTTTGACCCTGGGATTCTGTTTTTCGTTTCGCATCGTCTGCATAGCATATCACGCATTTTATCATACATAATATCCAATTTATCAGCTGGAATAAACTTGTTAGAGTTACAGCCGAATTGATCAAATAAAAATCAACCGTGTGTAAAATCGGTGGACAAAAAATTTCAAGATCGAGCCTGCAAAAGTCAGTGATATTAATCTACATTTTGCGTAGTTTAACCTGGTGTGCTCATTTAAATTTTTCGACCAGCTTTTGGACGTTTTTTTGGTTAGTTTAAGCCTTTTTAACCGATCTAATTTTATTTCAAAATCTGACCAAACGTTGTATTTTTCCAATATGTTTATTTCGCGTTGATTATTTTGGTGTGTTCATTTTATTTTTTTGAGCACTCTTCTGCCCGACTTTTTATTTTACTTTTTAATTATTTTTATTTAAATAATAATTTAACTTATTTATATTTAATGTAAATTTTTATTTATATTTATATTTTGTTTAATAATATTTTCTTTTTAAAAACATAATTTTTAATTCTTTTCATTTTTGTCTTATCATAAAAAATACAAAACATGATTTTTAATTCTTTTTATTCTTGTCTTATCATAAAAACACATAAATATGATTTTTAGTTCTTTTTATCTTGTCTTATTATAAAAAAACAAAAAAATATTGTGTTAATTGTTATTATCATTCTTGTCTATTTTCTAGTGCTATATATATATATATATATATATATATATATATATATATATATATATATATATATATATATATATATATATATATATATATATATATATATATATATATATATATATATATATATATATATATATATATATATATATATATATATATATATATATATATATATATATATATATATATATATATATATATATATATATATATATATATATATATATATATATATATATATATATATATATATATATATATATATATATATATATATATATATATATATATATATATATATATATGCATTAGAAAAAACAAGCAATGACACACAAAAAAAGAGACAAAAAAACACCTATGTCCCCTCTCTCTCTCTCTCTCATTAAAACAAAATAAATAAATTAAAGACAGGTCATACTTCATCTTTACACAAGCTTATGAATAACCACAACAAATCCGTTTTTCTTTTAAGCTCATAACAAATCCGCAAAGTACCATAAAAGTCTCTAAATAACAAATCGAAACATCTGCAATCATGCACGTATTCGGCACCGTTCAGCCTATGTTTGTGGTAGATTTCTCTTATCCCTTTCGTTTTATATTCATAAAAACTTTTTATTGGTTTTGTTTGTTTTAGTTTTAAGAAATCTTTTTATTAATATGTTAGGTGTTCAGAAATCTTTTTTGGTCTTTTTATAAATAAAAAAAATTTAAAATAAAAAAATGACAAAATTTTATAATAAAAAAAATATAACAAGCATTTTATCTTAATGTTTATGATTGATTTTCTTTTACTTTGTTTATATAGATTTATGTAGATTGTTTAATTTTATTATTTATTTCTTTTGTTTGTGATTATTTAGTTATCATTATTGCTTTTATTTTCCATTAGCTAGAAAAGATAATTAATTGAATAATAGATAAAATACAACAAAAAATAAAATAAAATCA